GCTTAATAGTCCAGGATTATTTTGGAGGATGTGGACACTTTGAAAGAAACCAATAATTGTTCTATCACTGGATTATGTCGCTGTTGTTTTTTTCATTTACAAATTCTATTTTTTCGCTTTGTTTAAACTCAAAATCCTCGTTTTGAGACAAACCATTTGCATAATATCTTAATGCACAGGTAGAATGTGCTAGGTGGGTGTGATAGTGAGCCGTAGGCGAGCCACATGCCCCGTGGCACCACCTGCCATCCAAGTGCCAGTGTTTTCTTGTGTATCTGTGAAAAGCCTATGTAGGAATAACACTGTGGAGACACTGAGCTTCATCACTATGTTGAGAACACTGTGGAACAGAGACAAGAAAAGAGCCTACAGCAACATTAGAGAGGAATGATGGAGAGATGTTGTGCTTATGGCTTCTTAATATTATGCTAAAACAGAAGGAATCTTTTTATTTGCATAGGGTGATATATCTGTTTATGTGTGCAACTAAGTAAACCAAATTGTAAGTCGATTCCCTTGAAATAAACACTGTGGCTCAGCATCTCAACCAGTCCAACACAGAAACAGATCTTAAATTGCATTTGGGGGCGGGGTTATGTGTTTGCCCAACCAATGGATGAAAACGGGTGTGTCTTCAATGCTGCAATTTCTGCAATTCATTTTGGTCAAGAAATTACACCCTTGACATAAATTATCTAATTCCAAGACCAATGCTTAAAATTATAGATTAGAAATATCTTAATACATTATTGTAAAATATTTAATTTAGCATTACATTTTAGGAGGTGAGTTATATAGATATATGATGCTACAGTAACATCCATAAAAAATGTTAGCATATCCTTAGCAATTATTATCTAAATAGTAAAACAAATATAAAAATATAAATATGAATGTATAACTTCAAGTATAAACCATACATGGGATAAAGAGAATTAATAATTGGATCAAATGGACTAATAATTCACTTTAGTTAAAAACTTTTCAAAATCATTAAATTAGAGTAAAAAAAAAGTTTTTTGAAGTCAATAAAAAATAAAACTAGTGGTTGTGACATTTTCATAATTTTATATTCACCGAGTAGCTCAAGTAATATTAGCTTGTGCAAGCACTGTATTTATAATAGCAAAATAAATATCCTTTCAAGTTGGCTCTGGCTGGCATATTAAACATATAGACATAGCATACATATTTTCCATTGATAAATACCATCACAGATGTGGAGTAACAACAGTCACACATAAAAGAGAAAAGACACACAGGGAAAACTAAATATTCTATTCTAAAAGGGAATTTAAAAGCAAAATCCAGTCATCTAGCGCTCCCCTCTACACTAGAATAACATCCCGTTAGGTCAAAGCATTAAACGTCTGGTGGTGGGGGTGTGTGGCACTAGTCAAGAGATGACAGATGATTGCATCATTTTAATGCTGCCAGGAGAGGCTGGGCTAATGTTGACACAAAACCTAATACTTCCTTGCAGAGGAACAGGCTGGCTCAGGCTCGGCCTCAGCCCAGAGCAGAGTGCTACGAGGGCCTTCATCACGGCAAGCAAAAACCCCTGAACGCTGCAGGATTAGTACCCGCCTCTCTTCTCTAAACATGTGAGTACTTTTCTCACACGTTAATCGAAACACAGCTGTTTTCATTTTTATATATATACACAACTATAGCAAAACAAGTTTAAAAAAAAATCACAAATCATTAATAAATCATCATGTTGATTTAAAGGTTATTTTAATTGAAACAAAAACTGGACAGTAAGGCATGCTTGGTAAAAACACAATGGCAGGGTGTATTGGGAGGATGTACGGCTCCAGTCATGTAGAAAACACACTGCCAGGCCCAAAATCCACTCTTGTCAGCGGGAATGCGGCATCCCGCTCACAAAGCAGAGCTAATTAAAAAACAACACATCGCAGGAGGATGCCCCCACGGTGCTAAAATAGAACTATCAGCACATCAGGGGATAATCCACAACTTCCTACTTCAAGCAAATTATCCCTGGACCAAGACTAACAGCAGACTTGAGCCAGGTTCCATTGACACTAAGGCCAGACAAGAACATTCGAACACTCAGCTTTCGAATAATACAGAAATATATACACTTCTGTTAAGCAACACTGTAAAATTGAATGGCAGAAGCTGAGGCATATCTATCTATCTATCTATCTATCTATCTATCTATCTATCTATCTATCTATCTATACACAAACCCTGAGTGCACAGAAACCCTCATTACCTACTCCTCTCATGGTGCAGAAATCCTGTTGTCTGTTTGAGAATAATTCAAATCACAACAAGTTAAATACAACAGTAAGAAACATCTCTCTCACACACATACAAAAAAATCTTTGCCAAAAAACAACTTCTAATCTAGAGGAAGTGCATTATTCTAATTTTCATAACATTAGAAGCAACAATCGTTCTTTTCTTTTGCAGTTAAAAAATAAATATATAAAATACATACACATGTAGGCTATGTTTAAAAATATGAATATAAAGCTATTACAATAACATTTACTGAAAAGAAAATAGTATTTCTAGCTTCCATGAATTTAAAATGTCATTTTAAGATCATAAAAGGTGTTTGTCCAAACTACTTTGTAAATGTTTATAAATGACAGACAATTTACAATAGTCTTAAATAAATTGAGGTTATTTAATATTTTTTCTGCCACCTTTAGGAAAGAAAGAAGAAAGAAAGAAAGAAAGAAAGTGTAGGCTCCATCTATGGTAGTGCCGCTGCAATTCCAATTAATTCCAATACAGTAAAGAGAATTCTCACTAATAGCTTGAAAACACAATTATATTTCCATAACCTGTGTCTTTAATTGGCGCTAACGCAAAGGTCTACTGAGCAATTTAAAGAACATTATATGCAGATCGTAATTCCAAAGCTAATCCTCTAATAAGGAAAGCCTGTTATTCCAAGTTACTCTTGCGCTACAGTGAGGTGAAATATATCCAAAACAAGCTATAAATTCCCGCCGGTAAGCTCGTGCTGTAAATAACAGACAGAGAGGTGTGAATATGAACGTTTGCCCAATGTCGTGATTTACGGTTCTAATGATTATAGGGCATGAATCAATTGATGCTAGTATGTCATTAGGAGGAGTTCCACCAGAAACGGCCAAAGGCTTCAACTTGGTGCCACGGGCGCTTTGCAGAGTTGACAAGTACAACCTAAATGAACGTCATAAAAGTCAAAAAGGTGCAAATTACATCTACTAAGTGGCCCGTCATTGCGAAATAAATAAACAAATATTACTGCTAGCTACGTGTGAGAGGAACCCCATAGCAGAGGTGTGCATGCTGAAACGAAACGGCTGTTTATGAAATGGCAGGTTTTGTAATGCAAGCAAAAGGAGATCAGACCAGGGAAATATGATTTACACGAACCTAACACCTGATTGACATTCACAAGGCCTTATAAAACATAACATAGCCTAGTTAAGATTGCAATTGGTGGATGCAAAGAAAAAAAAAAGTGAGAAATCTTTCCCAATAACAGGTAAACAAACAGTCATTTAAATAGGCTATATATTCTAAATATAGCCTAATGCCATAAATAAAAAGCTTTTTTTAAAAACATGTTTGGGCTGTCTCAGCGCTAGCTGCCGTCTCCAGGGTATGAAATATAAGACCAGAGCTATGAAATTAATTTTGTTAACACTAACTCTGAAGCTGAAAGAATTGGAGACTATTAAAGTCAGGCAGTAGATATGGCCCTTTAATTATTGCATGGTGTCGGATAGGGACCTCCCAGTTATCACCATGAGAGAGGGAGGGATATTTCAAAACCCCTGACACAAAAGCTCGCAAAAGTAGTGACACATGGGGAGAAGACATGCAACATAAGGCGCCCTGCGGTCCACTCACAGCTTCAGGACCGGGTGAATATCAGCACAGCACCCACTGTGCACATTCAAACTATCCCATACCATGACTTCACACGGTTTATAACTGAGGAATAAGAAGTGCGATTTGAGAAGATTTGCTACGGTATTTATTTATTTATTTTTTGCTACCGTATTCGGGTTAAAAAAATAGGCATTTTGTAGGCTATAGGCTATGCATCACTTTTAGCGTTTGTGCGTTCATGATGGTATGGTTAAGCCTTGATTAAATCAAAAAACATTCTGCAATAGGCCTAGAACGATTGTAAAATTCAATAACAACAACAATAATTATTATTAGGTATAATAATAATAATAATAATAAATTAGCTAAATAAACAAATGAAAGGAAACTTGAATTAATTAAATAAAAAGAAATAAAAGATAAAAGAAGATAAAACAATAGTGTTATTTAAAAGATAAAAAAACAGTTCGTTTATAATTTAAAGTCAGTCAAGAAATTGTCTTACTTAAATAATTTCTGACCATTTATGATTGACACGTAGGCTAAACGTAAAAATAAGATGAATCAGCCCGCATCCATATGCGTTAAATTGACATGGGCCTATACGACAGGTGATCAAATAATTGTGTCGTCCTCGACTGATCGAAGAAAAGACTAAATTAAATGAAATCGCTTAATTTTGATTGTCACTGCGTTGCAAAATATCACAGCTAAAAAAAAAATCAAAAATCAAAAATCCAGTGCAGTTTAAACTGAAATGAAAATTCAAGCCAAACTATCACTCACTAAATCCAGGACTGACGTCTCAGTTTATAAATAAGACAGTTTAGAACATGACAGCTGAACTAAATTCATTATGGCTATAACACATAAAAGCCTAATAAATATAAAGACGATTCTTCGACAATACCACAGTGCACTTGGCGTCTCAATTGAAAAACAACAGAATTGTAAGATTGACAAGTTCAACAAAATCATACCACCAACGCCTCAAATAGCCTACTGTGAGCGTTATTGCGTAAAAACGAAAAATGTGCCCCTTTCTTTGCTTGATCACAGATGAATAAAAACAAGTCAAGCAAAACACTGCGTGCGTGTTACACCGATAATTTCATTCAAATAATCCATGCCCTTACTGTTGGTAGTCGTGTTTGCAGTAAAGTTTCCTCTCCCGGAAGTAGCAGCTGGTGGTGAGCGGTTGTTGACACACGGCGCATTGCAAACACTCCTCATGCCATGAAGACTCGTTGACGCGCATCAGAAAGCGGTCGGATATCGGCCGCTGGCACCCTTCACACACCGCCTGATGATGGCACTCCGTCCCTGGAGAGCAAATGCATCATTTTAATAACATTCTAACTTCATCTCATTTTTTGTTTTTTTAAATAAGGATACATAAATGGGCTATTGAACAAGTGGCTATGATATCAAATTGTAATATTAGGCTGTAGCCTACTAAATAAACCGATAGGCCTATGCCACGGTGATAAAAAACAACAACAAATGGCGTGTGAACTATTACTGCCAGTTTACGAACATAAAGTAGCCTGTGTACGATAGGATTTTATTATCATCATCATTATTATTATTATTATTTACGCTCAAATTTTCAACAACGCACAAACTATCAGCCAAAACTGCATAAAAAAAAATACATAAATGTGATTCTTAAATAATATTGTACTTTTTGTTTATTTACTCTACAAAAAACAGGTGGAGTAAAAATTGCCAGCCATTATAAATAATAAAAATAGAATTGTGCAGGTGTTTTGTTGTTGCTTGTTTGCTTGTGTGTGTGTTTTTTTATTTTGTGTGTGTGTGTGTGTGTATTTTTTGCGGTAGGCCTATTTTTTATTTGTTAGTATTTAAACGTTACAGTTATTAGTTAGAATGAAGCAGCCACAAGTGTGTGAATGAGAAATAAGTATAACCGTGTGTGTCAAAAAAAAGAAAAAAGACAACACTAGAGTATCAAAATAAATGCATTACGTTGCGCATAAAATGTAAGAAAAGGTTGTATACGTCAGTTGTGTAATGGGGTTATTTTCTCTGAGAATTCGCCTGGATTATTCGACAGATATGCGGCCGGCCGGTAAAATGCATGACACAGGAGGATGCATCCCAGCCGTCTGCATAGTTTGACTTGCCACAGTTTCAGGTTTAATTATCGCGTACATCTTGATAAACACAGCATCATAAAATTCTCAGAAATTATCTTTTCGTATTCCAGGAATACGTGTTCACACTAGAAGGCTATAATACTGAAGACGATGAATAATTTACCCAGCATAACTCCAAGTGTAGCCTGTCCCGACCGCAGCGGATGATCTTCGATTTTTATACCGTCCAACATCTTTAAATATTCCCACTGTTACCAGCAAGGAAGCGCCGTCCTAGTGACTCGGGACCTGTTGTAATATCCACAACAACACATTTGTCAGGGTTGTCCATGCTTCAAATCCCAAAACTATAGCACACAACATTACAGAAATCTCAACCTCACGGCTTTGCCGCTAAAATGGCCAGCTCAAGAAAACTTTTCATTGCAATTGGCACTTGCAGGATTAGTATTTGCTCTCGATCAAACCTTGGCACAGAAGCAGAACAAGACATAACTATAAAACTTAAAACACGCACTAAGTCACCTGTTAGTTAGTGGCCGAGTCAATCTAGACGTTTTCTGCACAAAGCGCAAAGTTTGTATCCCGGTGTTGTGCTGTCACGAGCTGCAAGGGAAGATCCTCCCTTTCCTACACCGTGCACAAGTCGTCTCGTCCCGCAAAAAGTTTTCAGGAAATTAGTAAATTCCACGAAATCATAAAGGAGATGTCTAAACGTTCACTCTTAAATTAGTGCGCCATTCGGCTCCCTGCAGCTTGAGAAAGCTCAAAACTGAGATAGGCTTGTGAGAAAGCACCCTCCCCTTCTGGTCGCGTCACTTTGCAGACTATTGACTGACATAGGGATGCTATTGGTGCGCCAGTGTTCGTGCACTCTGCCGAGTGGAACTAAATGTGTTCCGCCTTCAAAATCGCATTGCCTCTCAAACTAGAGGCGCACAAGGATGGTAAACAACGTTACAAAAATTGTGGTGAAACAAATGAGTCTAAAAACACAGTCTAATTCAGACAAAAGCTTGGCCTAAAGAAAGAAAGAAAGAAACAGAAAGAAAGAAAGAGAAAGTAAGTCTATAGTCTACATATACATACATTTAAATATATTCATGGTTTTGATCACTTCAAGCATGAATTTGATGCCTGACAGACTATGTAAAATGTTGCATTTTAAGCCCTAAACTATTTTTTAAAAACAAGTACAGTGGCACGCATTTGACCACATTTTGGACAATACGTGATTTGCGCATTAATGAACAACTGCTTCCGTCAATTTAACGAAATTAGACGCACGACGCAAAAAAAAAAAAAAAAAGGAGGAAAAAAAGGAAAATAAGGCAAATTAGTTGTATCTGTCAACAAAACAACAACAACAACAACAATGTAGTATTAATGTTCATTTTATTCTTTATTAGTAGTAGTAGTAGCATTAGAAGTAGCCTACACTTTTGTTTTGTTTGTTACAGTGCGATTACGGTGAATACACGGGAAACATGTCGTTTGCATTTAATCTGTGGCAGTGCATGCAATTACGCGATGTTGTCTCTTTTGTAATTAATCACACTAACATCCAATTTGTAACATGCCTATTGTAATGTAAAATGTTACTGTTATTGTTGTTGATGTAAATAGATGGTGTCACTTCAAACCTTGAAGCGCATGTTACTCTTTGGTTTTATTCCGGCTGCTCCGAGGGCCTCTCCTCTCATGCAGAGGCTGCTGGCTTTGATATCAGGTAGCGGAGCATCACCGCATGCTTTGTGCTTTTGTGTCCATTATGAAGACTCGAACCTTCTGACCCTCGTCTACGATGCACCTGGAGATCAGGGTCGATAACCATCATCAGCGGCTGACAGAGTCCGATGAAATAAAAAGCAAACCCTTGTGCAGTCATATAGGACGGCAGAGATAGAGTAATAATGCTGCCGATTACACAGAAAAGATCAAAATCGAGCTAATGAGTTAAATGTCCCAGATTTTATTTAGTGAGCTTTGTGGTTTTGTTCCGGAGGGACCGCTTTGGTTAGATCTATTCTCATCAAAAAACCAATAAAGCAATAAAAAGAGGACGCATCTGAACAAATGAAATGATGCAACAGATAAGTGATGAATCTTTTATACATTATTAAAATGTATAGCTTCTTTGTCATTTTATTATTGTGTTACCTTGCCAATTTATTCAAGAGAGTAAAGTCCAGTAAATCCATCCATTAGATGTTTGGTTGTCTTATTAAAAACAACGAACAATCGCTTAGCTGCTTAAATGACAAAAACATGTTGCACAACATAATCTATAGCAGTATTGTAAGGAAATATATGAGAGGGTGACAAAGCCAATCTAAACTCAATAAAGGTTTGCAAGCTTTGCTACACTGTTTTAGTTAAACAACTCGGATAATTCGACCACAAGGTAAGAACAACACAACACGCATTAAGAGGACTGAAAATAATGAAATAATGGGGGGAAATTAAAAGAAAAAGAAAAGAATCACCACTATTGTAATTTCCAGAATATTTGACCGAAAAGTATACAACGGCAATTTTTTTTTTTTTAATTTAAGGCATTATTTAAATACTAATTTATCGACGTTTTTCGTTTTTTAAAAGCGCGTTTAAATGTCCAGTAACCATATCAAGATTTGATTCCTGTATCTGGTGGTAATAATGTGTTTTTCCATACTTTATCAAAGTTTGAGAAAAGAGGTCAAATATAGCTCATAATGTAGGCTATGTACCCAAAACAACTAACTAGCTAAATGACAGATCAATAATAATAATAATAAATGAATTAATTAATTACATTGTACGTTCATCAAACGAAAATATTAAATTCAAAGGAAGGGGATTTTGTTTAGTTTCTATTTTAAAAAAAAAATCTAATTAATATAAAATTGCCAAATAATTTCGTTTCCTGAGGGGAGCATTCCCTTCAAGTGTAATGCGAGATATTAAATTATCAGCTAGTTCACATTTTTTAGCATCGTTGCCCAACCTGGTTACCAGTATTAATCATTGAGCGCTTTGCAATCAATTATAAATGGTTATAATGCAGACAAAAACAAAACCATTAATAACAATATAATACAATTCTGTCATAAGCAACAACAACAATAATAATACTACTAATAATGGTTGCTCTGTATACTATGTGCATACGACTATAGTGTCAATTATGACGGTAAAGGAAGTATGAAGTGAAGTATGGAATGTGTTTAAGCTCTGTAGCAACACCTCAGATGTGATCACGGACTCTAAGCTTGTCTCTCACTGAAATGAGAAGCTGTGTAGTTTTCCCAGCTGAGACGCGGCATCAGGAGATGCGCTCTGAGAGCATCACTGCCGTCTAACGATGCTTACATTGCCTTTGATTGCAACGAAATAACGTTATCGAAATTTATATACAGATTTACATATATCAGATGATTATAATATCAATTGGAAAAAACTACTGCTACTACTACTACTAATGATACAGATTAATACAAAATAACAATTCGTTAATTAAACGAAATTATTCAAAACATTTATGAAATATTCAACAACTTTACAAGAAACGCAATCAAACTGAGCTGCAGTATAACCGCGGAATTGATTTATGTCATGTTGCTTGAGAAAGTCTCTTTAATTGTTTTCTTTCTCAGACACCCCTCCCTCTCTAAATGGTGCGCCTGAGCGGCAGGTGTGTGGCACGTGCAGCATATAGTGAGTGAGAGAGGGTGACAAAGCCAATCTAAACTCAATAAAGGTTTGCAAGCTTTGCTACACTGTTTTAGTTAAACAACTCGGATAATTCGACCACAAGGTAAGAACAACACAACACGCATTAAGAGGACTGAAAATAATGAAATAATGGGGGGAAATTAAAAGAAAAAGAAAAGAATCACCACTATTGTAATTTCCAGAATATTTGACCGAAAAGTATACAACGGCATTTTTTTTTTTTTAATTTAAGGCATTATTTAAATACTAATTTATCGACGTTTTTCGTTTTTTAAAAGCGCGTTTAAATGTCCAGTAACCATATCAAGATTTGATTCCTGTATCTGGTGGTAATAATGTGTTTTTCCATACTTTATCAAAGTTTGAGAAAAGAGGTCAAATATAGCTCATAATGTAGGCTATATACCCAAAACAGCTAACTAGCTAAATGACAGATCAATAATAATAATAATAAATGAATTAATTAATTACATTGTACGTTCATCAAACGAAAATATTAAATTCAAAGGAAGGGGATTTTGTTTAGTTTCTATTTTAAAAAAAAAATCTAATTAATATAAAATTGCCAAATAATTTCGTTTCCTGAGGGGAGCATTCCCTTCAAGTGTAATGCGAGATATTAAATTATCAGCTAGTTCACATTTTTTAGCATCGTTGCCCAACCTGGTTACCAGTATTAATCATTGAGCGCTTTGCAATCAATTATAAATGGTTATAATGCAGACAAAAACAAAACCATTAATAACAATATAATACAATTCTGTCATAAGCAACAACAACAATAATAATACTACTAATAATGGTTGCTCTGTATACTATGTGCATACGACTATAGTGTCAATTATGACGGTAAAGGAAGTATGAAGTGAAGTATGGAATGTGTTTAAGCTCTGTAGCAACACCTCAGATGTGATCACGGACTCTAAGCTTGTCTCTCACTGAAATGAGAAGCTGTGTAGTTTTCCCAGCTGAGACGCGGCATCAGGAGATGCGCTCTGAGAGCATCACTGCCGTCTAACGATGCTTACATTGCCTTTGATTGCAACGAAAAAACGTTATCGAAATTTATATACAGATTTACATATATATATTAGATGATTATAATATCAATTGGAAAAAACTACTGCTACTACTACTACTAATGATACAGATCAATACAAAATAACAATTCGTTAATTAAACGAAATTATTCAAAACATTTATGAAATATTCAACAACTTTACAAGAAACGCAATCAAATTGAGCTGCAGTATAACCGCGGTAAAGTAGCTAATGATGTTCTAAAATTCTAATTTTTCTTTAGATATAAAATTCTGTTAATTCAATAATTAAAATTACATAGCAAAGATGCATGTTAGATGTTAACCTACACATGCTATCTTTTATTATCGTGCAAAATCTTAGAGCTGTTTGGAGCATACGAGTTAACAAATCCTGTGAAAGAAAGCAAACCCTGCTAATGGCAGTGAGACGCAGACACACACAGTCAATTGTACGTGGCAGTGAACTTTCAAGTTTGGGTCCACTTCGGTCTTTAAATGAGTGTTTGCTATAATGAACCTTTGCACTTTTCAGAGACTTGAAAACAAGATAAATGGCAGCTTTCATTTATTTTCACTCATTTGAAAATGTGCATTACAAACGCCACTGATTAAGAATTAAATAAGAATGAAAAACTAAACAAGCATTACTAGTACTTATTTAACGTATTACATTTGTATTGCGTACAACGTAACACGTATTACATTTGGTGTAGCATTTAATAAAAAAGACGTTTTTCTTTGCAAAATTATTTTCCAGAAGTTTCATTGAAATCCACATACATTCTTGTGTAAGATTTTGTTGGTCAACAATAAAAACGTTGTCCACTAAAATAATATTAGCGAACAAATTGCATTACACGATATGTAGTGATAAACATAATATTTACTTTTTTCATTTATTTTTAAATAGTTGTCATGTGGCTTCATGAAATTTTGATTAGTATATTTTCATATATTTTCCATTTTTGAATTTATATTAACTACTATTCTGCATTGAAACAGATTTATATTGATGAATGACTTATTATACAGTATTCAGTACTTCTTCTTCAGCACAGTTCAGTACAGTTTCCCCTGGATGGACTTCTCAATTCTCAGTGTTATATAGAGGGTCAATATCGCCCTCCAGTGGCCAATCAACGCCTTCCGTTTCACTGACACACTCATGATGAAACAAACAGCAGTCTAGTAATAATAATAATGATGATAATAATAATAATAATAATAATAATAATAATAATATTCTCAAATGTTAAATAAGAGCTCAGCTGACTGGTAGTAGTGTCTAGTTGACCCAACAATGAAA